CCATATAAAAATAAATGCACCACATCATAGCAAGGAGGCTTATTTCAATAGGAAACATTATTATAGCTTAATCTTACAGGCCGTTTGCGATGCAAATGGTCTGTTTATAGATGTGTGTGTTGGAGAGCCTGGTTCCTTGCATGACAGCCGAGTATTACGTAGATCACAACTATATAGTACAGCTTCATTGCCAAGCAAATTCCCCAATGGTTCTTTTATATTAGGAGATTCTGCATATCCCAATTTAAATTGGCTTGTAAGTCCATTTAAAGATAATGGTTCTTTGTCTTCTGCCCAAAGACAATTCAATGTAATGCATTCGCAGGCAAGAATTGTTATCGAAGACGCTTTTGGGCGTATGAAAACTAGGTTTCGTCGACTCTTGCACTTCATGGAACAGCAAAGAACTCCTGCGATAACAAATTTAATTATGTGTGCATGCATATTGCATAATATATGTTGTTCGCAAAATGATGAAATTGATAATGAATTTACCCAAAATGTATATTCGAGCGAAGAAGATATAATAAATACGCAAAATTTTGAAGTGGATAACAGACGGAGTTCAGTTTTACAATATTTAATTGAAACTGAAATCATAACATCTTAACATCGAATTATTTTATTTTCATTTATTTACAATTGCTTTATTCCACAAGTAAATTATGTATTGTGTTTTAATAAATAAAAGAATTTAATTAAAGTTTTAAATATTTATTTGAATTTACTTTTTTTAATAAATTAACAAAAAAACAATAACAATTTTTAATAATAACACAACATGAATAATAAAAACAATAATTATTATTATAGTAATAATTAAAACATTACTTAACATATATAATATAAGGAAATAAATAATAACAATTAAATAAATAGATAAATAAAATATAAATACTAGCAAATAATAAATAAAATAAATAATAAATAAAATAAATAATAAATAAAATAAATAACAAATAAAATAAATAACAAATAAAATAAATAAATAAATAAAATAAAATAAATACATTCAAATAAACAAGAAATAAATATATAAATACATAATTTTAATAAATTAATATGACGAACAAACATATAACTTAAAATAAACTTAAAATTTATTTGGAGGGCGCGTTGTTAGCTATTTTTTCCAATAGCTTCATTTTTTCCTTGTGCTGCTCTGATTTCATTTTAAGCGCCTCTTCTTTTAACTCCAATTTTCTTTGAGTATATTCTTCCAAAATTTTTATTTTTTTGGCAGCATATTCTTGCACTGTTTTTGATTTTTCAGGCGGAGTATTGTTGCATGGCGACAATTGCCTTTTACGAGACGGTCCTGGAACCTCTAAAAAACATACAATTAAAATAATTAATCTATATTTATTAAAAGAGGAATGCATCAGAAAAATATATTACATAATTCATTTGCTAAAGTTTGTATAAATTGAAACACAACACAAGCTTTGTCGTCTGTATTTAGCAATAGATTTTAGCTCACTGAAATTTTGACAAAAAACAAGTCACCACAATTAACAACTATAAGACTAATCAATCTACGCACATTCTTCCATACAATTCAATTGCATTAAAACAATTTTATATCACAAAACACTAAATATATACATGTAGGTGTGCTTTAACTCTGGTACTAACCATCTCCAGGCAATGCGATTATTTGATTACCGCTTAAATTTAAAGTATGCGAATTTGCAATCATTGGGCTTTTTCCAAATATTTCTTCCATGAGGTCTTCATAGGGCGCTGGGCAAGGTGAAGCACCACTTTGCTTCCTATTATCTTTTGAAGCTTAATATGCTCGCAAAAGATTTTTAATTTTAGCTTGCAGCATTTCCACAGTGGTGGGCTGAGCCTTTTAACTACTTATAAAAAAAAGTTTTTACACTTAATGCAAATACATACCAATATCCCTTGTGCTTCTAAATCAAGCAGAACGTTCTGCATAGCGTATTTTTTACGCCGATGATCTTCGAATTCATCTTTCCTGCTCTGATAGGAAAGCAGTAACGCCCTTGTTTCCTCTTTTGTCCAATTGCGCCTCTCACTATAATTTAAATTTGAAAATATCATTAATTTTATAAATAAAAATAAAACTCAACTATTTGCCCCCAAACTCCATGTTTTCACTTGTTGTTTTCTTTATATATTCTAAGTCACCGTATCATATGTTAAAATCGCATTGCCAACCACATTTGCATTAAAATACGTTCCACTTTTATCTTTTATATACATTCCACATTGAACCAGAAATTGAACCAGATCAATTGCTGGTTCACCCCATTGTTTTTGTTTTGTATGTAAAATTGAGCGGATCATGTTTGCTGAAACACAGCTATTGTTGCTTTGTTTAATTCAACACAACCGTTCCGTTTGACTGTTTGAACAAAACTCCAACAACCCCTTTTTAGTTTTTAGCAACTCTTCTATGTTGTTTACTTTTCTTCGAATAGTAGCACCGTTAATTTCGTTAAAGCATGCGTACATGCATGTTATTTATTACGTTTTAGTTTTTTTTTCCCCTTAGAATCCTGACGTCGTTGATTCTCGTTGAAGCATGCGTACGTGCATGTTTTTTTCCTCAATACTGTTTAACCGTTTATGCACAACCTCACTCGCCGAGGTTCGTAACCAGACTGCTTCTCTTTATTTGTGAGAATAGTTATAACGATCATTAAAATAAATGACTATTAACTTATCTCATATAACCTAAAGTGTGTAAAACATTCTAAATATCGTACAAATATATCATGAGGCAGTAGCTCTTGTTTGCCATTGCAATTTTTGTATTTAGCACAAATTTCACAACTGGAAACCAAATTAAATATATCGTGATTAATATTTGGCCAATAAACAGAGCTTTTAGCTAAATTCTGACATCGCTGAATTCCCATGTGTCCTTCATGTAGACTATTTAATGTTTTGTGACGAAGTTGATGTGGTATAATTATACGATTATTTTTTAACTAAAGTTGATTGATAGAAAACAAATCATCTTTGATGTTATAATATGGTATAGCCAGTATATCAACTTATTTTTTATTGGAAGGTCAACCATTTCTGATATACGAAACCACTTTTTGCAATGATTCATCATTAATTATGTTTTCCCTGATTTCACTAAAAAAACTATCAGATGAAGTTACTCTTTTCATTAACAAATCACAATGTAGTGGTAAATCATTATCAATTTCATTTAAAACGTGTTCTCTGAGTGGTGCTCTAGAAAGCGTATCTGCAATATAAAGATGTTTTCCAGGTTTATATTGAACATTTAGGTCATAACACTGTAGACGTAGCATAAATCTTTGTAACCTAGCAGGAATGTTGTATAATGGGTTTGTAAACAATGATACAAAAACTTTTAAACCATAAAGATATTCATGAAATTTGGTACAACCAAACAAAATTGCAAAAAGCTCTTTTTCAATCTGAGCGTAGTTTCTTTGAGTGTCTGTCAGTGACGCTGAGGCGTACGCAATAGGATTGTTGTCATGTAAAATAGCTGCACCAACTGCAAATTTAGATGCATCAACTGTAAGAATAATTGGTTTTTTGGATTAAAATAGGTCAGAACTGATTATAAATTTCATTCCATTGCCACTGAACATTATGTTTAATAAATATCGCAAATGTTTATTTTTTGAGGAAAAATTATTTATGTATGCACCTAAATAATTCACCATACCTAGAAATCGTTGTAATTCAGAAACACTTATGTGTCGGTAAATTTATAACTGATTTAATTTTTTTCGGCTATAATTCCATTTGCATTGAATATATGACCTATGAATTTGATTTCATTTATACAGAATTTAGATTTTTCTTTATTAAATTCAAGACCAATTTGTTTTGCTCTGTTTAAAACTTCTTTTAAAATTTTGTTAT